ATATTTTGTGTTAGGTTTGTGTGTGGTGGGATGGCATAGGTATAATCTATTTTGAGCTGCTTCCAAGAAACCAAACTATTAATTCAAATGTCTCCTTTCATTAACTATTGAAATTGAATGAAGAAACTGAGAAAAAATGCCTTGCACTGGCCAATCAAAAATGGTGTAATATTACCCCATGATTACAACAGATCTCATACCATTTTGATAATAATAAATTAACAGAGCTCAATTGGGAACTGAATCTACATCTGTAAGCCTGACTTAGCACCATTACATTATTATTTGTTTGGCTCCCTTCAAAACCATTCGAATAAAAAAACTTTCAATACTAATAAGGCTGTTAAAAGTTGAGTTGGACCAGTTCTTTGCTGCTACAAACCAAGGCTTCTCCAAAAATGGAATTTTCAACTTACTAAGATGGCAAAATGTCATTCAACAAAATTGTCAATATATCATTGATTAATGTCTGTTCTTAATATAAATAAATTTACTTCGAAAATTATGAAAAAAACAACAACATTAATTATGGAACACCCCAATAAAATATCTCAATTGAGTTTTAAATAAAGCATACTTGAATATCATAATTTAAAGTTGAATAAGATTAATATAGGATACTTTAATTAAGTTTAGACATAGAATACTGTAACTGGTTGTTGGATAGAGTGAGCATGAAAAAATTTTATTAAAAGTTAAATAAAGCCATTAGGGTTTTTTGGTGTGTTTTTCTTGTTGATAACATTGCATGTAGAAACATTGCAAAGTTAATTTCATCAACTTTGTTTATTAGACAGGTTTTCTAAAATGTTTAATTCAGGTGTGGGTCACATTGCATTTTTGCCTTTGTGTGCATAGTTGACAAGACAAAAATTAAATGGGGTAAAGGGAAGTGTAGGTGAAACATTATTTTATTTTTGACATAAAATACTTTGATTGAAGGTTAGAAGTCAAAGTGTTTTTGTAGTATTTGTTTACTGGTTAATGATGTTGCATTTATTGTTGGCTACACTACTACAATAGTATATGTGGATACAATGGATACAATGGATACTAGGGATTGTAATACTAGTTTACCATTAAATAACTGTTTTAAATTTAAACTTTTTATAAAAATTTACCTGCAATTCAACTTTTATTTACAAAATAACTGAAAATGAATATTATATAATGCTTATTTTAATGTTTATTTGTGCGTGTTTGCAGAGAACTCACAGTAGCGATTACAGAAACTGTATGCAAATATCTAACTTATGTAAACTTCAAACTGTGTAATGTTAAAATTATATAAGTTTTACTTTTACTTGAAAATTGCATTGCAACAATATCTCCTTAATAATATCTCCTTAACAATATCTTCTTAATTTTGATAATAAGTTATAAAGAATTATAAAGATTTTTATTTTCTACAACTTTCTAAAATTTATTGAAAACAACTTTATAAAGAATAAGTATAGAAGTGGTTGATGTGGAATAGGCTTATCATAATCCATATTATATGGACCATGGTTGTCATAAACCTTTGTCAAAAACCTTTGATTTTTTTGATTTACAATATTATTAAAGATCCAACTAAATTTAAATATGTGAATGCATAAATTAAGGTCTTCTGATCATGATATAATAGTATCGTTGGCATTAACTATCATTTGGTTAGATTTCTTCAAGATTTATTATCTCCATTGACACTGTTTTAACAAAAGTAATTTAAAAAAACTTTTAAATAAAAGTAATTAAAAAATCTTTTTGCAACAGCAAAATGTTCATTTTAAATGAACTTTTTTAAATGCACAAATGCATTCATTTATTTTATTTTATTCATTCATTCAATGGTCGTTTTAAAGGTTTTTGACCAAATTGATGGCGTTGCAATGGGTTCTCCATTAGGACCTGTACTTGCTAATCTTTTTATTGGTAATTTTAAAGAAAAAAGGGTCAAATCTTATAATGGAGTAAAACCGTTATTTTACAAACATTATGTAGATGACATTTTTGCTGTTTCTCTCTCAGAAAACCACGCATTTTTATCCTTATATTACATGAATAAAAACATTCTTCAATATCTTTTACCATGGAAAAGAAAAACTCAAAATTTTTTTTTTTTGACAAAACTCTATGTAAGTCAAACAGTTCAACAAATACAACAGTCTTTCATAAAAAAACCATTACCGAACTGATGATGTTCCATTATTAACAAACTCTTGTTATTTTAAACTCTTTTATATGGTAAAATATCTGAGCTAACGAAGCAAAGATTTTTTATCAAGATTATCAATTATCAAGAGACTTTGTAAGTTAGTTACCGTAAAATTAGTATTCACTTCACTAAAAGTGTCTAACTTTTTTGATCTAAAGATCTTCCTGTAGATTTTAAATCATTTTTTATTTACAAACTTGTTTGTGCAGGATGTAAATTCTGTTATATTGGCGAAACCTCCAATCACTTAAAGACACAAATGATATAAATATATATTGTAGGAATTGTGTTAATATTTCCAGTAAGAGTGCTCAATACAGCGTGCTATGTAATTAGTAGAACAAATAATATAGTGAAAACTAAATAATTGTTAAGATATATTTTAATTACATAACTAACTAACTGATGTTACAGCTGTAAAACTCAGTTTTATTGTTCTAAGGACAGCTGGTAGTCAGGTTTACCGAAATCTGTGGTAGCTCTCAGAGAAGCTGATTCCATCAACAACTGTAAAATATCAGAATAGTAACAGTGCCATGTTGCACATGGATGGTGTCCCTGTTTGTATTTTTGGTGCGCACATTTGGTGCACTTTGTTACAACTTAGGGTTTATTAATAGTTAGGGTTTATTACTAGCAATTGATTGGACTATTAAATAGTGTATGAAGTACTATCTGTACTTTGAGTCAAGGTCTTTAACAAATTTAAAAATTACTAAAATAGCAAAAACTATAAAACACAAAAAACTATTGTCATCACCAAGTTCTCTAAATCTATTATTCACTAATATTTATGGTCTTTGAAGTAACTTTTTTTCTGTTAAGTCTTAACTTTGCAAAGTTCACCAGACCTACTTGTTATTTATGATACTAATTTAAGTTCTGCTGTCTCATCTTGTGATCTTAGTGTTGATGGTTATCTTCCTTTAATTCGTAAAGACTCCAATAGTCACATGCTTGGCCTAGGCATTTACATACATAAGAATTAACCCTTTGTCAGGAAATTAGGTTTGAATCTATAGACTATTCTTTTGTTTAGCACCACTTCACTCTAATGCCTTTCTCTTTGTTCTAAATTGTTCTCCTTTATCCTAAGACTGTACTCTTTTTGATGTTATTTCTAATCAAATTGACCTAGCCTTTTCTCTTTATTCTTCAGTCAATATTGTTGTTGGTGGTGAACTTAATGATCATCATACCGAATGACTTAGCTCTAGTGTGAGTGACTCTACAGGTCTTAAGACCCACAAGTCTTGCTTTTCTCAATCTCTAATAAATATAGCCAACTTTCCAACTCACTTTCCAGACAGTGCTGTTATGCACTTACAAATGGACATACCAGTATGATGTCATTAGTGATGTTTCATGTGCATCTAAATCACTGTGTTTTTATTGTCATTTTTTTATTAAGTTTTTTTATAAATAGAGAAGTATTAAAATCTTTATTGAAATTTGCATTGAACAAAAAAAAATACATTTTTAAAATTGAACTTTTACCAAGAAATAACTTGTTTTTCTGCCACCCTATAGCAAAACCCTATAGCAAAAAAATTACAGTCAGAAAGACCAGTCTTTTTTTTTTATTATTATTATTTTTTCTTTCTAAAACCCAAACCCATAGTTTGGTTTGAATGTCTTGAAAACACAAAATACCTGCATATATTTATAGTTTTAATAAAACTGTATTAATGTTGTTATTTATAAAAAGTATTAGTATATGACTTTTAATATCTATGTATTATTTATCTAACTCATCAAAAACGCACTAAAAAAATTTTAGATATAAAAAACCTTTGGGATCATCTACAATCTACGTTACTTTTGGGATCATCTATAATGTATGTTACTTTTGGGATCATCTACAATGTATGTTACTTTTGAAGTCATCAATAATGTATGTTACTTTTAGAATCCCCCAAAATATATGTTATTTTTGGAATCATCTGTAATGCATGTTACTTTTAGAATCATCTATAAGGTATGTTACTTTTAAAATTATCTATAATGTATGTTACTTTTAGGTTGTCTAATGGTTGTTTGTTACTATTTTTACTTAGGGACTTAGTTTCACTTACTGCTACTATTTCTAAAATAAAATAAATAAGAAACAAGTTATAAAAAAAATTAAAAGAAAAATCAAATTAAAATTACCAAATTAAAAATCTAATTTGATTCTTTTTAAATAAATTTAACTTACAAGATAAATTTTTTCTTCAAAAAACTGACTACTTATTAGATAATTGGAATCTTTAGTTAAACAACTTGGTCGTATTGTTTTTACCACTACAGAAGTGTAATCATGCAAATCTAAAAGAATATCATAAAAATTTATTTCATATTTTTTCTAAGTTATACACTTTCATGTGCTCATGATAATAATAATTGCTTTAGTCTTTTAATATCTCTTATTCTTTTATTTAAAACTCTTACACTTACACTTTTATTTCCATTTTACTTTTGAATATTTTTGAAGATTGTTTTCTTAATATTAAGGTTTAAAAAAATTCTTTAAAAGCTTGGAATTAAATTAAAACAATATTGTCTTAAACAATTTTCAAAGCAATTTAAATAAACAACAATTTAATTAAAAACAAAATGAAAATAAAGAATAAATTAAAGGAGAAGAAAATGTATAAAAGTTTGTGATTAATAAAAACTTTAAATTATTATATTCAAAAAAAAAGCCAAAATATGCTTTAAAATGCCAGTTATGCAATAGATCTGACATCCTAAGTAATGTGGTGTATTCATATAAAGCCTTTATGAAAGACAATAATAATAATGTCAAACAGTTTAAATAAATATTTTGAATTATTCTTTTATATGGTTGATTGTTGATAAATAAATGGTTTTTATTTTAAATGTGCTCTTAAGAAACCTTCATTACCAAGCAACTTAATACTAAATCCTCCACGTTATTGACACTTCTGCACAATTTTGTAAACTAATTTAATCCATGATTTTATTATAAATCTATATTCATCCAGTTTCCAAATCTATATTAGTCATTTTCCAGTTATTTATTACTATAATAATAGTTTACTAAGTTTAAAAGAGATTTTTTATTTTATTTGCAATCATAACAACTCAGGAACGAAATCTTATTTAAAAATAGTTTGATGGCTAACTTGCAGAAATTTAGAAAATAATTTTAGGGCTAATTTGCAAAATTTAATTTTACAGTTGACTTGTCAAAAATATTGTAGCTTAAAAAAAAAGTTAATCTTTTCAGGTAAAACATTTATTTACATAATCAGAATAAATTCTTCTTAATTAATTAGGTAGCAATGTAAACTTAATTCATCTTCTTGCATATTAGTTCCTGTTACTTTTTAAATAAAGTTATTCCACAAAATCAACTCAAAAATATTAATTATTCACTTTCAAAATGTCAATATATATATAAGAAATGTATAATTTATATGTTATATAGCTATGTTGGCTGAATAAAGAAATACTTTAATCAAAAAAGTTGTGTTCGAAAATAACATTTTATTCTCAGCTTTTAAGTTGCAAGATTAACAGAATTGCAATTTTTAAGGAATCAGGCTCAACAAAAGTACTCCGGCTGCTAATAAATAACATGGTGCCTGCTTGAAGAATGTGTATATACCATAAAGCCAACCAATTTTTTATTCATACTTTAGATCTAAAGGGACATCCAGATGATATCAGTTACTATTACTGTTGTTTTTATTATTGGATTATTATATAGCTATATATAGCGATTTTATCTGTTTAGCTACTTTTATGCCATTTGTTATGTCATCCCCTAGTAGTATGACCATAGGTCATATGAACAGGTAGTGCATCAAAATTTTGTTGCTTAATGCATATTCAAACTACCATAAAACTAAAATTAAAAAAAATATTGAACAAATTTTTTATTTACTCATGAGGAAAATCTTTTTTAAACAAATCTTGCAACTTGGATGACATACTAAAGCATAAAATTGTATATAAACACTTATCAAACATAATTACAAAAAAGATAAGTTAAAAAAACTATGAAATATAAAAAATTAATGCAACAAAAATGATATCTAAACTGGTCTTCAAAATAATTCCCTCTCTCCCCAAGCTTTTATTCAAACAACTTCTTTTTTGCTTTAATTTTACAAAAATATTGTTAACTTTGTTTGGAACTCTTCTCCAAATGGTATCTAATTTTTGCTTTAGTCTATATATGGATTTTTGTGCCTTGACTAATTCTTTGTACATCCAAAAAGATTTGATTGGATTTAAATATGGTTATTGAGCTGGCCAGAGCAATAATTCTACTTTGTTTTCCTTCATCAATTTTTTTTGTACAAGCTGTGTGGGCAGGCAATAAATCTTGTTAAAATTGCCACCATTTCTTTCAACTTGTCCACTCAGCATCAATATTAAGGTTGATTCTGCCTGTATAAATGTTAAACACACCTACTCCATTAAAATTAAGGCAATCCCCAAATACCAACAAGTTGTAGGGAAATATGTTTCTTATCATTCAAAAAAAATAACAAATTCTTTAGCTTTGTTTTAAATTAAAGATACTTAATGCATTTGCCTAATGTGAATTTGACGCCATAAAATTTTTTAAAGACACTAACTTTTTTAAATTACTGCAATAATATTAATTACTCCAAAAAGTTAAATATTATTTAACTTGCTTTTTTATTATTCCTCTTAGGGAATGTTTATTTTCTTTCAATTTTTTTATTTATATAAAATAATCAAATTTAATGTTACATTTTTTAAAATGTCTGATATGAACAAATTTCTTTCTTTTCTCAACATTTGTATAAATGAATTAAAATGTGTTAAATTTTTTAAAATGATTATTTCTTAATCTTCTAATTGCGGCTTTGCAACTAAAAATGATTTTCTATTTTAAAAAAGTAAAGAGTAACAAATAAAAAAATCACTTTAATTAATTTACTTTATTTATCAAAAGTTTATCACTTTATTAGCGCTTATTTTGTAAAAGTAAAGATTATTTTTCCATACACCATTTATTAAAACTATATCGCTTTATTTTATTTTTTATCATTAAATAGAAATTTAAGCAAATTTTTTTATTGCAATCAAAAGTTGTATAAATATTCTTGTGCTTGCAAAATTATAAATTTTTCAAAAGTTTTATTATGTATATTTCTTTTATGGCTTTTTAAAAAGGCTTCATTTAATAACTTCGTATACAAAAAAATATTGTCCTTAACTGTAAAGAATTTTATTTTCTGTTACTAAATATTTTGATAAAATAATTAGCTTAATAAAGATTAGTTTTTTATAGTTTTTAATTTTATTAGATTTTTTTTCATTTGTAAATAGCGTTTATATCTAGAGATCAACTGAAACAAACAAAAAAAAAAAGACGAAACCGAACTAAACAAAAATTTTGGATACAATAGCTTGGTGCCGAAACCAAAAGCGACATTTCAGATAATATTTTACCCAAACCGATACTGACATTTCGGCTAGTCAAAATATATTTACTTATTTAATTATACGAATATATTACTTATTTAATTATAGGAATGTAGGAATTGATTACATGTGTTACGAATACTGTGTAGGAATTGATTACATGTGTTTCACAAATTATGATTTGATACATAAGTTGGTGAAGTTAATAGAGAAAGTTAATAACTGGCATATTTTCAAATTTGTCAAACAATATTTTTAATCACAGCTGTGCAAATTCGGGGTATTATATTTATGAATTTAGCAAAATATTTGTATCTAATGAGTATCATTCTGTTTGCAGATACTCACACATCTGCGTAGCACTTCTTGAAGATCTATTACTTATCTACCCAAAACGTCCCAAACTAGGTCAATTAATGGAGACCGTTAGAGTATAGTCTATTAAAAATGACACTTTACTGCAGCTTTGGCTGCTGTTACATAATAATTTTGCTTTGAAGTTACTTTTTTAAATTAATCTTCAGCTAATGTTGTAATTTTAAGCCTCCAATTATGATTTATGTCTTAACAGCTGATGGTATGTTGTTATCTTTATAATGTATAAAGAACCTCTTTTGCAAAAAACCTTTTTGCAGTTTTTTTTCAAACATAAAAAAAATTAATGACTTGTTAAAAATGATGAAATTATATCATAAAAATCAATTTCATCAATTTATATTGACATTTTTAATTTTTTGCAAAAAAATTAACTGCTTTTAAACTTTTGAGTAGTATTTTTTCAAATTATAAATTATAATAACATATGTCAAGTTATAAGTTATAACAGGTCAGGTTTAGTATCATTGTTGTAATCACCCTACTACTGGTAACATGCAATTCAGCGCATCCATTTACAGTCTTTATAAAGGCATGAAAGAAAAAGTAAGAAATTTTTTTGCGAAGGATAATAAACACTGGACCTTATTGACTTTAGTCATAGGTTTTTGCTTGTGCCTCCTGATTAGAGGCTACGCATCTCTTCCTGTTATCTCTTAATAAGGATACAGCTCTAAAACTCAGTTTACTGGTTCTGAGACTGGCTGGTAGTAAGGTTTCTCGAACTCTGCAAATGCTTTCAAAGAGGCTGGTTCAAATAATATCAGTAAAATATCAGAGTATTAACAGTGGTTCCAATTTTCGAAAACTCTGAAGAATACACTGACCAATATAACTTTTATCTAATCCATCTACTCTATTATTATCAAGCTTTTAGAGTCATAAATAAACATCCTCAAATAACTTCTAACAATCAACCCTCTCATTCTACAGCTGGCTTTGTTATCACAGAAACATTTTATTAGATATAGGTAGTGAAGGTAAAGGCTAAAATGTATTAGATGAAGCAAGCAAGTACTATCATGCATTAGATGGAGGTAGCAAGGTAAGAGCTATCATGCATTAGATGAAGGTGACAAGGCAAGGGCTATCAAGCATTAGATGAAGGTGACAAGCAAGTGCTATGATGTATTAGATAGAGATAACGAGGTAAGGGCTATCATGCATTAGATGAAGGTAATAAGGTAAAGGCTATCATGAATTAGATGAAGGTAGTGAACAAGTGCTATTATGCATTAGATGAAGGTAGCAAGGTAAGGGCTATCATAAATTAGATGAAGGTGTCAAGCAAGTGCTATTATGCATTAGATGTAGGTGGTGAGGCAAGGGCTATCAATACTAATGAAGTTTGGCCTATCTTCTCCAAAAGCTCATTTTATAAAGTGTATTTGGGGAAGTTTTTGAGATTATTAAATCATTCCTTTCTAAAAGTATTAGTCATACTTGAAGACTTTTTTTTCTTTCTTCTGATTTCAATTTGAAATCTGTTTGGCCCAAATTGGTCTTGTATTGTTTTTCATTTAAATTAATGATCTACCTGATAATCAGGCTTGAACAGGAATGGCGTGCAATCACACTCTGTCACTGACCACACTAATTTTTTTTTTTTTTCTTTACAACTTGACCACGGCTATTTTGATGTTTTAACAATTTGAATGCAATAAAAAAAGTATTACATTATAAATATCTTTTAATCGTTGATCTCTCTAAAAATTTTATTTTACGCAAAGGCTTTAAATAAAACCATAAAATTAATGTTATTTTTTACATAAACGTATGTGTAAATTAATAAAAAACGTTATATAAGTTTTTTTTTATGTAGGCATGTATTTTTTATGATAAATTTAAACGTTTGAAACTATTTTTTTATGTCTTCCTAAAGCATTTTTAAACCATTATTTTTAGAAAGAATTTTTTTAAGTTACTTTAATTTGTGAATAAGTTCAAAAGCTTTTGTGACTACTAGCTTATACACATTTATGTGAATTACACAAGAATATAAAATAACTTTATTTACTT